TTCAGAAAGTAATATTTCTTCAGATATTCTTTAATTGATTTTTGATGCAAGAAATGATCAAAATGTTATCGATTACGTGTATTAGGCTTATACAACCTTTTTACTTACCACCAAGTTAGAGTCTTTATTGAATTGTGCAAATGAACTTTTTCTTTCCTTTGTATTTTTCTACTAATTACTATATTCTTTTTTCTATAAGCTAGAAAAAATTGTGTTATATGAACACTGTAGGATAATCAAACCTTGCACATTATTGTATGCCAATGTAATTCTGCGAAACATCTATAATTAAATGGTATAATATAAAAGACAGTATATATAAAATAGATAGACAATAGTACAGGATAAAAAACAAAAATTCTGAAATACTTTCATTGGAATACAAATTCTCATAAACGGTATATGTACATCCAAAATTTTACAAAATAATTATAGCTGCGAAAAAAAGAAATAAAGAAACAATAATAATAGAAATAAAACGATATTTTCACACGAAGGGTCAAACGACTTAACGCGTTAACACTCCACAAAGTTGAAGAAGAAAGTTTTCTCAGCTTCACACTGAGCTAAACGCCATCAAAGACACATGACTTTCCAGCATGACATGTTCAAAGAACATAATTTGCTGTCGCCTGTGTCTTCACAGGATTGATACCCTGAATTGTTTGCAGTTAAGCAAAGATATTATCTCGAAAGGCGGACCGGAAATAAATGATTACGTGCGCGGACAAGTTTCTTATTCTCCAGGCCCAGTGTTCGAAGGGTCAATCCCTGGGTCTTACAATTAACATAGATTTTTCCTTTGGAGAGAATAGACCTGGATCAATTTTATTTGGTATGAGAATAAAAGATAACTATTTGAAGTAATTCGTCTCGAACCGATATTTTCAAAGCTGTAAATAACATCGAATTCTGTGAAATGATTGTAATTTCAAACAATAAATTATTTCGCGACTTTTTCATATCAAGTATGAAAAAAGAAATAATCCTCAAAATAATATGCAACAGATTTTATTTTAACAAATCTTTGCATCAATTTTTCTTTATTTAAAAATAATATTTCAATGTTATTTCGAAAGTGATCACAGACATGGAAATAATTAAGAAATAAAATGACATGCCATCTGAAATAATATTTTTAACAATGTCAATTCTAATGTGACTAGGCCTGGAAGACCTCTTAGCTATGACGACCAATTTTTAAGACCAATTTCTTATGTATTTTATCAGTCACACTGTGTGCAGTTTCTCTCGACAAGTTTTGCTATAACTATTCTGAAATA